ACAGGCAGCCAGCCAGAGCCGTTAGGGGGAAAGGTAGAGATCTGCTGCCAAGGGTCTTTGCCTGAACCACACCGCCCAGTAAAACCGCTCAGAAGTTCTTAATGACTTCCTTTGCCCCAGAATTTATTTTTATTTTTATTGCAACATCAAAGAAACAATCAGTTTGTTTGTCATTCCATTTTAGTGCCACACTATCCCACAAGTGGGGCTCTTCAGCAGGAAGGGACCAAGCAGCCATCTGACCCACTCATATTAGATCCAGACTTCCTTGTCTGCAATCTCTCTGGATTAAATCCAGAAAGATAGCTCTGCTTCTTTCAATATGATGACTGTAAATGCTTATGACCACAACTGCAGGCACAGAGCTGGCCCTGCAGACCATGCAGTCCCAGCCTTGGATCAAGGCAAGATGAGCTGAACTGACCAAAGCCCTTCCCACTCAGATCTCAAGCCTGCACAGAATGTTCAAACTGAGAGGGTCTTAGAGACCATCCAATCCTTTCTGTTTCACTGGAGGAAGAAAGACAGACCCTGAAGGGTTTACACTTGCCAAGGTTACACAGCTGGAAAGTCATGGAGGGTTCCATGTCTTAGATTCATAGCCAAGGACAATTTCCCTGAGTCACACTGACATCTCACTGCCTTCTCAAACTGGCAAGGCTACTAAAACTAGGCATTTACAGAGTTCTGGGGATCAAACCCAGGGTACTAAATTCTACTACTGAGCTACACTCCTAACCAATATCACTCTTTTTAAATGCTTACTTGCTATTTGCTGTCACTATGACCACCACCAATTTCTGACACCTACCCTGTCAAGTAGTTCTGGAGGAGCTCTCCACAAATGGGTTCATTGACAATCCAACCAGGCAGGTTATTGTTATCTTAATTTCAATTTGTTTTTCCAGAACTGGAATTGACCCTAGGACCTTATGCATGCTAGGCAAGTTTTCTATCATTGAGCTATGTCCCCTGGCCCTATCATCCCCATTTTAGAAATGGAAAACCTGAGGCAGAAAGAGGTCACATGGTCAGGACAAAGACACGGCTGTCTAACTCAGTGTGGCTCCAAAGTTCACACTTGAAAACACTTTATTAGAGTATATGAAATACAGTTTATTTAAACCATAAAATCATGAGGAAAAAAAGAGTAAACTCAAGCACCAAGGACATGGTCACCAATATTAAATGATGAACTTAAAAGCTAAGCCATAACTGTCTTTAAAATGTACAATATATCTCTTGGGGCAGCTATATGGCCCAGTGGGTAGGGGTACTTGCTGTCAAGCCACATACCCTGAGTTCAAGCCTCAGACCCCACATGATGGAAGGAGAAAACTGACTACTGAAAGCTGTCTACTGACCCCCAATATGTGTACACACACACATACAAAATAAATAAATGTAATTTTTAAAATATCTTTTCATCGCCCGATTTGGATTTTTCAATTTTTTATAATTACATTTACTTATTTTGTGTGTATGTTTGGCGGAGGCATGCCATGGTTCAAGTGGAGAGGTTGGAGGACAACATTTAGGAGTTGGTTGTCACCTTCCACCATATGGATCCCAGAGATCAAACTCAAGTTGTCAGGCTCAGCAGCAAGTGCTTTTACCTTCTGAGTCATCTCACCAACCCTCAATTATCTATTTGTAAGGGAAATGTCTAGACATATATTTGATGGCACTACATAAAGCATGCTAGCATTTCAAGTGCATATTTTTCAAAAGGCAGAATGCCCACATGCTCAATAGTCACACAAAGCCTGCCCCTTGGCAGTGGTTGGATGTTATTCACCTGCTGGTTTGAGAAAGGTTTCTTCTGGACAAGCTACTGCAAAGACAAGGTGCAGTGTTGCCTGATCCAGCCCTCCCTCACACACGTCCTTCTGCCCTTGAAGGAACATCATTTTTAAGTTAACTTTCTACCAAATTCAAACCTCAAAGTATCAATAACTGGAGAATAAAAAATGAAAATAAACCCCTGAAGATTAATAACATACATTTTTATAAACATGCTCAAAACCAACATCACTGGAATAAACACCCACTATTCAATTATATTACTTTTTCACTTTCCTTCTTATTAAAAAATGATGTCAAATCTCATTATCTTGCTAACCCAGGAGAAGAAATCCAGAAGCAATAACCGCTCAAATAAGCAAATTACAACTGTGTCTAAGATCAAATTTCAGGAGGAAAATGGGAGTGCATTAAGAAGATGCACTGCCACATAAAAACAGCCCACGACTCATTTCACCAACCAAAGGTCTTGATTGTGGAACAAGCAAAAATCTAGTCTGAAAATACAACCCATCCTAAAAACACAAAGGCCACTGAAGTGTTGCCCTATGCCTAAAATCAACAGCCACAGAAGTAAAGCAAAGAGCAATGCCAGGCACATAGCAGGCCCTCAATAAATATCTGTTGAATGAACACAAATGAAGAAATTTTTCACAGAGAGTCCTGCGGTAGAAACTGTCAAAAACGGTGGAGTATTGTGGCTTTGAGTTTTGATGAACTTCTTTTCAATACCATAACAACAACAATGGGACCAAGTGTCATGGAGACCAGACAAAATGACACAGTATAATCTGCTCAGGGCGAAAAGCCCTCCTATACAGGACCTGACCTACACCTTGTAAGCAAGAAAAATCTCTAAGCCAGGCTTTGCCTAAGCAAAAGATTCAGAGCCAAGCCTTAAAGGGTGGTATAATATTTACAGTACAACTGTAACATTGCAAAATTCCCTGAATTTGTGCATTTCAAATGTACTACTGTTTTTAATTTACCAACCTCAGTAGGAGTTGCCCAGCATGACCCAACTCTTCATAACAAATCTTAAAGTCACAAGAGGAAAAATCCCATAGCTACTCTGCTGCACTGAAAGTAACACAAATATAAATGAGATTAGACCAAACCTACATAAGCCAGATCTGTCCTATCTGCCCAGCACATTAAAGCATAATAAAATTACAGCCAGCCTGGGACTTTGAAAGTAATTTAGGTTCTATTGCACTATCCTAGCCATTCAGCAGCAGAAAGGGGGCTTTCAGTATTTACATCATGAATCTTTTTTCTTGGGAGTCGGCACTTGGTCACAAACTTTGGCAGTATTCACAGTTAGAATACTGTGAGAGCTTAAGTACCAATATCATGGTGACCAACTTCATATAAAATGCTTAATCTAAAAGTAATAGTATATTCTGCTATTTAATACCCACTTAGAACATTTTTTTTCTTCTCACATGGCATAGTAAAAGAAAGCGAGGCACATGTATCAGAGCTCACCTGATATTCCTGTCCAATGTAAGTCTTAACCTCAAGAGCAGTTTCTTACGAGAACACAATTAAGAAAATATTTCAAAATTTTCCGACTATAGCAGGGCGAATGATGTATTTCACAGAATCTTAGTGACCCACTATGATTTTCTTCTTTACCTTTAAGCATTTCTTAACTACTATGAAGACAGACGGCACTTCAGAGGAAAATCTAATGACACACCTGTTACATAACCTGCTCACCACTGGCCTGATTGTGCTGCGGCTTTGATAAGAGACAAAATAGTCAAAAGCAGGACAAACAGATTCTCTGTTCTCCAGTCGCCTATCGAATTAGCAAGAACATGCACAGAGTCCCACACCCACTAAATATCAGGTATGATACTTTCCGAGTTCCTAATCAAAATAATTACACATAATCACCAATAAAAAGTCCACATCCGAATATTACATTGAAATGCTATGTCAGAGTAAAACTTCCAAAGGCTTTTGCAATATTCTTTCCCTTCCAATATTCCAAAGGGATTAACTCAGTTATTTATCAAGATTAGACAAGCACCTATTTGCTTTAACAATGTTCGTATAAAAACCCAGGATTGTTGTGTGCAAAGTGGATCCCAGAGAACCTAACAAGGGCAACCCTTTGATTTGTTTTTTATGTGAGAATAGGATTTCGTTTTCTGAGACACCGTTGGGTCCTAGGGACAGAAGAGGACAAAGCTTCAGAAAAGCTGTGTGTCCTTAAAACCATCAGTTCTTTATAAATGTGTTTCTTGCCTGCTTGGTGCAGACGGTATAAATCACAACTTGGGGTGTGAGCAGACTGGGACTACAGCAGGGGTCAGGGAGCCAGAGGCTGTCAAACACAGATGTTGCCCCTTCCATGGGCCCACCCCACTGTAATGAATAGGGAGGGCGCTGTGGGCTCCTTAAGTGGATTCTCTCTTAGAAACCTAACTGGTGTCTGGGAAACCAGAGCTCGGTTTCCCGGGTGGCCTGAGCACCCAGTTTCACAGGGCTCACACTAGCAAGGACGCCCTCTCCACTGAGTGCAGGCCTATCCTTGTGCCTTCACCACCCACACTCTGAGTATTGCAGCGGAAACCCATAAAATAAGTGCATGGATTCCCATGGAACTCCGAAGGCCCCTCCCAACCGAGATAACCACAGATGCTTTTTTGAAGGCAGCAAATGTTCCAACATGAAACAAATGTTAGCGCTCCTATCCTGAACTTGAGCCTGGCTTGCAATCAGGGGTCCCTGCAGACACCTGAACCCCGGAGCAGAAGCACAGATTGGAAGAGGGGACCCCAATTCTCGAGATTCTCCCTTCTCAACTACCAGCATGCCATTGATTTCCACCGCCCCCAAAGGACTGTGGTCTAGCGTCCCCATAGCCTATCCGGTGTCCCCGAGGGGTGGCCGCTGTATCCTCCCGGGTGCGCTCGGGGCCGCGCCGCCCCAGTGACCCGGCGCTCCGCAGCTGCCGCCGCGCGGTGCACTTGTTGCCAGCCCCAAAGGATCCGGAGGCGGCGCCCATCCCTCCCGCTGCCAGCCCGCAGGCTGCACCCCCTCTCCACCTCTGCGGACCCCCGCGTCCTCGGGAACCCTGGGGAAAGTTTGTCCCCTGCTAACTCAGGTGGGCAAACTTCTCCCGCCAGGGCTGCTGGAGGAGCGGAAGATGGAGCACCCCCCCGACCCGCCCCGGGAGCCTTTACCTGGAGCTGTGGCCGGGTGGCGCCCAGAGCCCCGGCCGGGTGCAGTCCCCGAGGCCAGCCAGAGGGCCACCCGCCAGCGCGCGCCTCCGGGATCGGCGAAGCCTGCCCCCAGCTGCCCACGCCTGGCCGCCCGGCTGGCCGCGGAGGGCGGAGTCACCTCTCCCCGGGCCGCCCCCGCTCTCCCGCTCCTCCCGGGTCCCCGCCTGCCCACCTCCGGCCTGCCGGGCTCGCCGCCGCCGCATCACATGGGCGCGCCCGCCACCCGCTCCTGAAGGAAACCTGAAGCTGCCGTGGCTCCGCGGGCTCAGCGGTCCCCTCCCTCCGCCGGGCGGTGGCTGGTCGCCTCGGCTTTCCTCCCGCGGGCGGAGCGGGGACCTGCCAGGCCGGCGGAGGGCCAGGTTGCACTCCTAGCGGTGGCGCCCCCGTGCCTCAGGGGCCTCCACGCCTCGATGGCGCTGGAGGAAGGAGCTGGCCGGTACGCTCCTGAAAGGAGTTGTGCCAGGCCCGAGGGAGGCTCCAGTTGTCCCCAGCCAAAGCCACCACACCCGGGACATAATGCGACCCAGGTCTATGACAATAGGAAGTATTATTCAAAAAGCAGAAGACGCCCTCTTAATTCATAAGGCTTAAGAGCTGTTCCTCTGACCCCAGGGTGTGCAAGCTGTGATTCCCTTCGTGTTTATGCATGCAAATGGGTGATAGTCATAAGAGTTTTTTCAAAAATTAGGAAAGCCATAGCCACTTCTACGATTGGTAGCATTGTGAAGGGGTTCCCTTGTCCTCTACCCTGTCACAGAAATGATGGCAACCCCAAGTTGAGATGTCTCTCCACTAAACGTCTCCATGAAAGTCAGTTTTAAAAATAAAATTGTGCATCTATTTTTCTGAGGTTACCTTGAATATCTGCTTTGATTTTCTTAAGACACAGACCACCTATGGGACCAGGAAAGAGATGTGGTGGCTCCAGGAAGCTGGCTACCAATGCACCAAGTCAAAAGCAGGATCCTTCACCTGTCACGCTCAGTTACCCTGGACCACCTTCCTAACACACCTTGCTTTTGTAGGAAACCTGAAGAAGGATCAGAGAGCAAGCAAAGGTGGTCCTGTGTATGAGGTCCTCAGCCATATGTCAATGCAAAAGTTGCTCTTCCTCCTTGGTAAAGGGCCTGACATTGGCATAGCACTGCTGACCCTAGACTGTCATCTCAGCTGACCTCACCCCACAGAGCCTTCCATACAAAAGAGAAGCCCTCTCCATTGCAGATCTTCAAGGCACTCAGAAATAAAAAGCACTAATATTCTTTTCAAACATAAGAATGTTCAATGTTAAAAATGGTTTCCAAGCCACTTTGTAAAAAGTCCATGTTAGAAGCCTTTGGTCTTGCTCTCTTCTTTCTTTTTTCCCCTTTTCATTAATTCTGTCATATAGAGCTAGAAAAAAAGCAATGAAGTGTGGGAAGAGAAATAAGTATTATAAGAAGTTACCTGCAAGCCCCTTCCACACTAAAAAGAAGCAAAGGAGAAAATTAGTCCTTGTGAACTTCTCACCATGGCTGTGGATGAGGACATGTAATCATACTGCCGTTTTCTTGCCCTCTCTGAAGCACTGAGCTTGATCAATATTTAAATAAGTACTTGGCTTTCAACTTCTCCAGGTTCAAACTAAGCGAAGTGCGCTCTGGCAACTTTAAAAGAAGCCGGTGACTGCCTGAGGCAGGAAGCTATCCCTTGTGTAAATAACCTTTTGCATCTGATTGATTTTGCTCTTGCAGATATAGGTCATTCAGGACACAGATAGTACAGAGCTTGGCTGGAAATGCTTTTGCACACAAAGTCTAGTATTCTCAGTCCACAGACAAGGAACATTCATTCAGCCAGGTGGGCAATTCTGCTGGGATCCGTCCAGTTTCCTAGTGAGTCTTCTGCCAGTCTCCCAGCTCAGCTGTCTTGTCTAGCAGCTCAATCTCCATTCATCCTTAACCTTTATTCCAGACAGACCTCCTCCATAAATCCTTTCTTCATTGTTCTGCTTTCTGCCATCCTCTGACCTTTGACAAAGCATTATCACACAGCATAACACCTGCTTATACTTGCTGTGTATGCTCCACTATTACAAATGCTTACTCTATTTTCAACTTGCCCTTTCAAAGGACAAAGAATGTTCCTTACCCTTGTGATCTCTGAAGTCCTGACACGGGGCACCTCTGGATTATTTAACATTAGCTTTTTTAACTAGTTATGCAGCATGGAAAATGTCCATCATAATTTTCAAACATTAATAGATTAGAATTAGTCCAAATTCTATTATCACTTAATAGTTTCCTATACTTTATTTCCTTTACCAATAATTCTTTAAAAGTGAGTGATTTAAGTCTGGTGTTTGGCCATATGCATTAAAAAAGACTAACCAGTGCACCATTTCTGTTGTTTCGCTATCTTAAATAAAAGCATTATCTGAGAAGCTGGCAACTTTGTCAGGGAGCGAGGCAATTTGGGGAATTAGAAATAGGATGACTGGGGGCTAGAGAGATGGCTCAGCAGTTAAGAGCACTAGTTGCTCTTCCAGAGAACCCAAGTTCAGTTCCCAGCACCCATATCAGGTGGCTCACAACTGCTGTAACTCCAGTCTCAAGGGATCCAGCCTCCTATTCTGGCCTCCATGGACACCCATACACATGTAGCATACACTTACACAGACATATACACATAAATAAAAATAAAATCTTTTGTAAAAAGAAAAAATAGCCGGGAGTGGTGGTGCATGCTTTAATCTCAGCACTCAGGAGGCAGAGGCAAGCAGATCTTTGTGAGTTTCAGACCAGCCAGGGCTACATAGTGAGACCCTGTCTCAAAAAAATAAAATAGGAAGGAAGGGAGGGCGAGAGAGAGGAAAAAAGGAAGGAAGGAAGGAAGGAAGGAAGGAAGGAAGGAAGGAAGGAAGGAAGGAAGGAAGGAAGGAAGGAATAGGATGACTTCAGCAGATTCGAACCTTCTAGAAAAACCTTCATTTCCTCCTCTGTAGAGTAGGCAGGATACTATCTGCTGTCACTGTGAAGATTAAGTGCCTGACAGTGAAGACAGAATATACAGTAAGGACACAGAAAACAATGGTAGGTAATTATTTCAGAGTACCAAGTATTAGGAGAACCTGTCTGCTTTTTTTAAAGATTTGTTTTATTTTGATCACTGCTGGGTAAAGGAGAGTTGGTCTTCTTTAACGGAGTGGCACTAGATAGGTTGACCAGGCTCCAGTGGATGAACTCACACCAAGGGACATCTGGAAACACAAACTCGACTCAATAGGCTTTAACATATATAACAGAATGCATGAAATCTGGCAGGGGAGCTATGGCATGGGGCAGATGGGGAGGGGGTTTAAATTGATTAAGATGTATGAAATGCACAAAAGTTCAATAAAAAATTTAAAGAAAAGTTATTTTAATTATGTGCATGTGTATATGCCTGTGTGTGTCTGTGCTTGTGTAAGTGCAGTGCCCCTGGAGGTCAGCCAAGGACTGCTGATGCCCTGGAGCTGGAGTTACAACTTAGGTGCTGGGAACTGAACTCTATTGTCTGCAAGAGCAGTATCTCTATTGTCTGCAAGAGCAGTATGAGGTCTTAACAACCAAGCCATCTTTCCAGCCCTCACTTCTACATTTTGAGATGATTACTAGAACATATCATACTCCAACATAAGAAACTGGTTCTGGGTTAAACATGTGGTTCCTCAGTCTAAGGTTAGGGAACGCACAGAGAAAAGAGACCAACCATGCTCAAAACGAGGGAACAGATCTCATGGGGTAAGGGTCATAGTAGTTTTCTTCTGGCACCACCTGAAGATTTTTCAAAAACTTGACCCCGGAACTCCATCCCAGACCAGAATCTCCAGGGGATGGGACCCAGGTTTTTAAGTTGCCCAAGGGATTCCAACGTCCAGCCTAAGCTGAAAACAGCTGGATGAAAGGAACTGAATTTGTCACCACTGCAGAAGTATCAGAGCTAACCCCCAACGACACAAGGGCAAGGGAAGCAGCCCTTCCATTTCCCCTGTGTTGAACAATCTGGTCAAAAGTGCAGGTGAATTGTACTTCAGTGTGATGTGTATGTGAATCACTTGGGATTTGTTAAAACACGGATTCTGGTTCCCTGTCAGCTGAAGACTGGAATGCAGCATTTCTGACAAGCTTCAGATTGGTGCCTCTGACTCTCTGGTCTGTGGACCAACCTCTAACATCAAAATAATAGAGATTCAAGCCAGGTGTGGTAGTTCACACCTATAATCCCAGCATTTGGAAGGTAAGGCAAGAGGATTGCCATGAGTTCCAGGCCAGCCTAAGCTACATAGTGAGTTCCAGGCCAGCCTGGACTATAAAGAGATCCTATCTCAAAAAGAAATCCATGATACATAACTTCCTGAACTGGAAGGGTAGAGGCACTAGGACCACTGAAAGTTCAACTCCAACCTGGTCCATATAGCACAATCCCAAAAAATAAAAAATAAAAAACAAAAGCAATCCAACAAACAAAATAATGAAATTCAAAATAAGCCTAAGGAGGCAAGCAGAGAAACATTCACATTTGTTCCAAGACAAGCCACTATCTCTGAATATTTTTAGTCAAGTAATATTTATTAAGTATCAACTAGTCACAAAATATTTTTTAACCTTTGAATGAAAGAATAGACTATATCTTGCCAACTTTAAGCATAAAATCTTCCCTAAAGCACCAACTTTTCCATTAGACAAAGCAGGTTTAGAACAAAAAACACTTTTAAGGACACACAAAAATATTTTATTTTTTCTTTGAATCAGAAGTAATAAAATGAACTTTTAGGTCAAAGGAAAATTTCTTACCACATAATCTGAATTTGTCTATACCTATAGAAGTAAACTATGATTTTAATTTTTCACTTCTTTTTATTTTTCTGGAGGAAGAGGCCTATGAAACAAAAGTTCACAGAACCCACACAGTCTCAATGAAAGCAAGTTCTCAAAGTCCACATTAGTCCTGGGTAGTTCAGAAAAGCCCATGGAGCTTCCTATTCTGGCTGATATTTGCATACTACTGTTTACATGAATGGTAGAGAGATATTGGGGAAATTATAAATACACCTCTTGAGTGGA